GCACACAGACTCACTCGCCCTGGGACCCAGCACGAAAGCAACAGTATGAAAAGGTCTAGACCATAGGTGAAGGAGATTTATTTACTAATCTTAAAGCATCTGCGGGAGGGGCAGGAATCTGTTGGGACTCTTCCTGGAGACAGAAGCTGGCAGGTGCCATTTTTGTGCTCTCTCTCCACCTTGTTAGTCCCACTGTACGTGCCCCATCCTCATGCCACTTCTGCATCCCTGCCAAAGCCAGTTGACACATGCAGTGTGCCTCTTGAACACCTGGCTCAGGTGTCCAGGGGGGATTGTGTTTTGGGACCCCATGAGTCTGAAACAATCAGAGAGACTATTCTTGGCAGGCTACCACACTCCAGTTACTACACAGACAGCTGACTGTGATGCACCCCCAGTCTTCCTGTGAAAAAGCCCTATTTACCTGTCTTGAAGCTTCAGCCTGATGGGCAGGCTTCCAGTTTTCCATACGTCTAGAGGCTATGGAAGGTCTAGGGGATATCACCTTTGTGCTCTCCCTTGACCTCACTACAGCTCACTGGTACCTCCCAGAAATGAAATCAAACACTCACCTGGAGCCCCGATTTTTGCAACTTCACTAATGGGACACCTGTAGATCACCTGGTGCGGAGGCCAGCAAGGTTTACAATTGCATTTTCACAGTACTGTGTATACTTGCATACCTTAAAAGCTGCCGCTTAGTTTCTAATCAGCCTGAAATTAAGGGCTAACTGAGATCCCACCCTCTGGAACACTCACAAGTCTTCAACAACTGGGAATTACCAAGAATAAATCAGGGTGCTACGACAATCACAATGGTTCAAAATATAACCAAGAGCTAGGGCAAGGTTAAACAAGAAGGTTCATCTCCTTCACAAGGCCACTACTTCAAGACTGGGAAAGACAGCTGTTTTGTCTAATACATAGAAACACACAGAGAGTCAAGCAAAATGAGGAGAGAAAGGAATTTGTTCCAAACACAAGGAAAAGATAAAACCACAGGTTTAAAAAAAAAAAAAAAAAACCTTAATGAAATGGAGATAAGTAATTTAGCTGAAACAGAGTTCAAAATGTTAGTCATAAAGATGCTCACTGAACTTGGGAGAAGACTAGATGAACACAGAGAGAACTTAAACAGAGATAGAAAATATAAGTAAGTACTAAATAAAAGTCACAAAGATGAAATATACAATAACTGAACTGAAAAATACACTAGAGGGGTTCAATAGCAGACTACAAGAAGCAGAGGAAGAATCAGTGGTCTGGAATAGAGGTCACTGGAACTCATTCAAATAGAGCAGCAAAAAGAAAAAAAAAATTCAAAAAGTGGAGATAGCTTAAGGGACCTATGAGACAACATCAAGCAGAATGACATTTGCATTATATGGGTCCAGAGGGAGAAGAGAGAGAAATAGGCAGACAACTTATTTAAGGGAATAATGGCTGAAAACTTCCCTAATCTGGAAAAGGAAACAGACATCCAGATTCAGGAAGCCCAGAGAGTTCCAAACAAAATGAACCCAAATAGACCCACACCGAGACACATTACAGTTAAAATGTCAAAAGCTGAAGCTAAATCATAAAGGCAGCAAGAGAAAAACTTGTTACAAACAAGGGAACCCCCATAATACTATCAGCAGATTTTTTTTGCAGAAACTTTGAAGGCCAGCACTTTCAAAGGGCTGAAAGGAAAAAACTTCCAACCAAGAATAATCTACACAGCAAGGTTACTATCTAGAATTGAAGGAGAGATAAAGAGCTTTCCAGACAAACAAAAGCTAAAGGAGTTCATCACCACTAACCCAGACCTGCAATAAATGTTAAAGGGACTTCTTTAAGCTAAAAAGAAAGGGCACTAATTAGTAACAAGAAAACATATGAAAGTAAAAATCTCACTGGTAAAGGTAAATATATAGTAAAGGTAGTGTATTGATCACTTCCAAAGCTATTATGAAGTTTAAAAAATAAAAGTAATAAAAATAATAATTTAGTTAAATGATACATGAAATTTAAAAAATGTAAAATGTGAAATCAAAAACATAAAATGTGAAGGGGAGTTCAAAATGTAGAGTTCTAGAATGCATTCAAACTTAACTATCAGTTTTAAATAGATGATTTTATATATACACTTACATATATATTTATGTGTCTGTGTATATACATATAAGCTGTTACATGTGAGCCACATGGTAACCACAAAGCAAAAGCCTATAGTAGATACACAAAAGATAGTGATAAAGGAATCTAAGCATAACCCTATAGAATGTCATCAAGCCAAAAGGGAAGAATGCAAGAGAAGAAGAAAGAAACATAGAGGAACTACAAAACAGCCAGAAAACAATTATCAAAATGGCAATAAGTACATAGTTATCACTACTTACTATAAATGTAAATGGACTAAATTCTCCAAACAAAACACATAGAATGGCTGAACAGATAAACACCAAGACCCATATATATGCTGCCCACCACAGACTCATTTCAGATGTAAGGACACACACAAACTGAAAGTGAAAGGATGGAAAAAAATGTGTCATGCAAATAGAAACCAAAAGAGAGCTTGGGTAGATATACTTATATCAGATAAAATAGACTTTAAAACAAAGACTAATAAAAGGCAAAGATGAGCATTACATAATGATAAAGTCATCTCCAGCAAGAAGATATAACATTTGTAAATATTTATGCACCCAACATAAGAGCACCGAAATATATAAAATAAATATTAACAGACCTAAAAGGAGAAATTGACAGCAATACAATAATGGTAGGGAACTTATAACACTTATAACAATGGAAAATTATCCAGACAGAAAATCAACATGGAAACATCAGCCTTAAACCACACTTTAAACAAGATGGACTTAATACATACATATTGAACATTCCATCCAAAGGCAGCAGAATACATGTTCTTCTCAAGTGGACGTGTAACATCATCCAAGATAGATCATATGTTAGGCTACAAAGTAGTCTCAATAAATATAAGAAGATCAAAATCATGTCAAGTATCTTTTCTGACTACAATGGTATGAAACTAGAAATCATTTACAAGAAGAAAACTGGAAAAACACGAATACGTGGAGACAAACAACATGCCACTGAACAACCAATGGGTCAAAGGAGAAATCAAAGGAGAAATTTTAAAAAATACCTTGAGACAAATGAAAATGGAAACACAACATACCAAAATCTGTGGAATGCAGCAAAAGCAGCTCAAAAAGGGAAGTTTATAGTGATAGAGGCCTACCTCAAGAAACAAGAAAAACCTCAAATAAACAACCTAACGATAAAGCTAAAGTAACTAGGAAAAGAAGAATAAAGGAAGCCCAAAGTTACCAGAAGGAAGGAAACAATAAAAGTCAGAATAGAAATTAATGAAATAGAGACTGAAAAGATCAATGAAACTAAGAGCTGGTTCTTTGAAAAGATAAACAAAATTGACAAGTCTTTAGCTATACTCACTATGAAAAAAAGAGAGAGGGCTCAAATACATAAAATCAGAAATGAAAGTGATAAAATTACAACTAATACCAAAGAAATACAAAGGATCGTAAGACACTACTATGAACCATTATATGCCAACAAATTGGACAACCTAGAAGAAATGTTTAAATTCCTAGAAACATGCAGTCTTCCAAGACTGAATAATGAAGAAAGAGAAAATTATGAATAAACATAATTACTAGTAAGGAGATTAAAAACTCTCAACAAACAAAATCCAGGGTCAGACAGCTTCACTGGTGAATTCTACCAAACACCCAAATGTTTAATACCTATATTTCTCAAACTCTTCCTGTGGAGGAGGGAACACTTCCAAACTAATTTTACAAGGTCAGCATTACCCTGATACCAAAACCAAACAAGGGCACCACAAAAAAAGGAAATTACAGGCCAATGTACCTGATGAACATAGAAGCAAAAATCCTCAACAAAATATTAGCAAACTGAATTCAACAATACATTAAAAGGATCATCTACACTATTCAAAGGGACATTTATTCCATGGCTGCAAGGACGATTCAACCTCCACAAATCAATCAACATGATGTACCACATAAACAAAATGAAGGATAAAAATCACACGATCATCTCAATAGATGCAGAAAAGGCTTTTGACAAAATTCAACATCCACTTATGATAAAAACTCTCAACAAAATGAGTACAGAAGAAACCTCAACATAATAAAAGGCCATATATGACAAGCCCACAACTAGCATCATACTCAACAGTGTAAAGCTGAATGCTTTTCCCTTTAGTTCAGGAACAAGACAAGAAGGCCCATTCTCACCACTTTTGTTCAACATGTGTAAATCTTGAGGACCGTATGCCAAGTGAAATGAGCCAGTTACAGAAAGATAAATACTGCATGATTCCATGTACAGGAGGTATCTAAAATATTCAAATTCATAGAACCAAAGGCCGGTTGCCAGGGCTTGAGGGGATGGGGACACAGGGAATTACTAACTAATGGGCATAAAGCTTCAGCCAAGCAAGATGAGTCAGCTCTAGAGATCTGCTCTACAGTGTTCTCTGTATAGGCAACAACGATACATAGATTGTACACTTAGAAATTTAAGCTGGCAGATCTCATGTTAAATCTTCTTTCCACAGTAATTTTTTAAAGTACCTCCATCGCAGGAAAGAGCTACTGCTGGCCATCACATAAATTTGTGGGTTTTTTCCACTTTCCTTATTTACATCCTCAAGGACGAAATAGCATTAGCAATCTTGAAATAATTACCATAGTAATTCACCTAAAGCAGGACTGCTGTAATTTAATTTTCGGAATGAAATGACAGCATATCCAAAGGAAACTATTCAGACTTCCTTTCACATTTCAAATTTAGCAAATTCAAATCTTTCTGTCCAACAGGAAATTCCCAGTGCCCAGCAATCAACAAAGAAACAAACACACAAACAGGCACATAGGCATAAGCCCAGTGGTCGGAACTTTCCTATTTTACTGATGAAATTTGTTAAAATCCATCATTCTTACCTTCCCAAAACTCCCTTTACCAATGGCCCGTAGGATCTGAAAATGGTCAAAGTTGACTGTAAAAGAAAAAAGAGAAAAACAGGAATAAGTCAGATTTGGCAAACCTTGTTTTGGTTCTTAAATGTCCTTCCCTGCACACCTACCCATGTATTTCAAACGGCTCCTGGTTTACTGCATCATGTTTGTCATGGCAGCACTCCACCACTGAATGGATACTTCTCGGCATATTCCATTTCCCCTCCCAGCACATATATTTGGCAGTTAACACCTCACCATATACCTAGACACCCACAACCATATACACCTATGTGGTATATAGGAGGAGAGACATCATTTGGGCCAGAGGGAAGGCAGGACAGAGAAAAACCTGGATGCTTGGATTATCAAATTCTTGTACCTGCTAATCCCTTTGCCAGGATGACCCTTCCCTACTCCTAGCTCCTGTCTTGTCCATCAAGCACTCTTACCTTACATACTCAGACATCAGCTCACCTGCCTCAGTATCCAAGGAGTTAATCCCACCTCCATTATGGAACCTCTGGACCCCCAAGTTTCATGGCCACATCATGGTCCTTCCCTGCTTGGGTGTCTGTCTAAGCACTGATATCACGAGCCAAGAGGATGAGGAGGATGATCCCACACCTTCCTCCTGGTATTGCCCTGTCTCATGCCTCCCTTTCATCACGTTTCTTGATGGCGCTCCCCATTCCTGCTATCTCTACTGCCTTGCTCCAGTATGGCTTATACCCCATCCCCATAGCCCAACAGGCCAACAACGTATGGCTATGCCACTCGAGCCAATGACAACTTACTGTGCCCCTTCTACTTGGCCACTCTCTCAAAACACCTGCATAGCTTCAATGGAAGCGCACCCTCTTGATTTTCCATTTCATGCATCAACCCTTTTGCACACACATCTTTGTCCTCCTGGCCATTAATTACTGGACTCCATCAAGCCTCCATCCTACAACCTTCCTCTCCTCACTGCCTCCAAAGGTTTCAGTCACCACCTAATGGCCCATGACTTTCCAGGCTGTGGGTACCGATTGATCCTACCACACAGAAGCTCCTGAAGGCTTTGGAGCCATCTTGAACTCAATGGGTCCAAAATGGAACTTAGGAGAGGGTGTGGAGAAAAGGGAATTCTCCTCCACCATTGATGGGAATGTAAATTGATGCAGCCACTATGGAGAACAGTATGGAGGGTCCCTAAAAGACTAAAAATAGAACTACCATATGATCCACCAATCCCACTCCTGGGCATATATCCAGAAAACATGAAAACTCTAATTCAAAAAGACACATGCACCCCAATGTTCACAGCAGCACTATTCACAATAGCCAAGACATGGAAGCAACCTAAATGTCCATCGACAGATGAATGGATAAAGGAGAAGTGTTACATATATACAATGGCATACTACTCAGCCATAAAAAAGAATGAAATAATGCCATTTGCAGCAACATGGATAAACCTAGAGATTATCATACCAAGTGAAGTAAGTCAGACAAAGAAAGACAACTATCATATGATATCACTTATATGTGGAATCTAACAAAATGATACAAATGAACTTATTTACAAAACAGAAACAGACTCACAGACATAGAAAAGAAACTTATGGTTATGAAAGGGGAAAGGGGAAGGCAGGAAGGATAAATTAGGAGTTTGGGATTAACAGATACACACTACTATATATAAAACAGATAATCAACAAGGACCTACTGTATAGCACAGGGAACTATATTCAATATCTTGTAATAACCTATAATGGAAAAGAACATATATATATGTATATATATATGTATATACACACACACACACACACACACACATATATATATATATATATATATATACACACACACACACACATAGGTATATATACACACACATATATACAGGCTGGTGGTTGCCAAAGGGGAGGCAGGGGGGAGAGGGATGGTTTGGGAGTTTGGGATGAGCAGACGCAAACTAGTATATATAGGATGGATAAACAACAAGGTCCTACTGTATAGCCCAGGGAATTATATTCAACATCCTGTGATAAACCGTAATGGAAAAGAGTATGAAAAAGAATATATATATAACTGAATATACAACTGAATCACTTTGCTGTACACCTGAAACTAACACAACATTGTAGATCAACTGTACATCAATTAAAAAAGAAAAGAAAAGAAACACGGCCTAGGATGAGTGGTTCAACATTCATTCGACCTCACAAGCTCAAAGCCCGGAACTCATCGTGGACTCCTCTCCCAACCCCACAGCTAATCCTTCACTAGGTTAGGTCCATTTCACCTCTTCACTGTCTCTCCCATCCATCCACCCTGTGGCCACCCTCTGGTCTAACCCACATCGTCTCTCACTTGGACAACCACAGTGGTCTTCCAACCACCTCTTTCAGGAGGGGGCTCTTCTTGCTTGTCCTCTGCTTACACCCCTCCAATGGCCCTTCCATTGCTTTCAGGGAAAAGAGGAAATTCCTCCCCATGGCCATGAGGCTACACCATTGTGCCCCTGCTACTTCTCCTGTTTCACCTCCTACCATGCTCCAGACACCCACTGAGCTTCAGACTTGCAAGCTTTCTTTCTGTGCTTTGAGCAGCCATTCCCCACACCTTTAATGCTCTTTTCTTGGCCCCACACTTGTTAACTCTGCTTCCTCTTCATTATTCTGCAAGCAGAGAAGGCTGCTCTGACCCTTCAGCCTAAGTCTGCTCCCCCTATTATATACTCTCACAGCACCCTGGGACTTTGCTCCAAAAGACATTATTCTGTGTTATTTTACATGCATTTGATTAAGATCATTGATCCTCCACTAGACTCTAAGCTCCCTGAGGTCAAAGGCCATGTTTGTTTCTCTACTGTATCCCTACAGCTAGTACGGCGTTGGTACACAGTCGTATATGACAAATATTCATCAACTAAAGGAATGATTGAAAGCAGATCCCCATATTCATGGTGCCAGACACACTTCCTGGTACATAATGGGTATTCGGTAAATATTTCTGAATTAGATTGAATTATGGCCAGTTTCTAGTAACTAGGAAAGACATGCTATTTACAAAAGATGAAGTGAACTGATTAGTTTACTACATTATGGGGGCAAGGATAGGGGGAGGTGAATGAATACAATCAGTTCCTTGTGCATTCCACTCACCACCATGGAGGATAATTATGTTGAACTGTGTCCCTGCCAAACCAACGTCAGAATCCCGTGTGCCATCTAACACCTAACGTGCTTAGAATAGAGAGACAGGGTTAACGGTTAACTTAGCAAAACCTTGACCTAGATTGGTTTCCTTTGCACATAACTTGCCAGGAAAAGAAACTGGGAAGAGAGAAAGCAGTGGGCTGGGACTGCACTTGTGATGTGACCAGCAATGAGCTAGGAAATGCACGTATCCTATCCCAAGCCCCCAAGGTCCCGGGAGGCAGGCACCACTGTTGGCATTTGACACCTGCCCTCCCCACCAACTAGCAAGAAACATCCCCACTTCCCTGAAGGCTCCATGCTCCCTGTGCTGTTATTTCACCTGCTTGGAAAGTCATTCCTCCGACACCCTTTATTTCAGGGAAAACTCCTACCTGCCCTTTGACACACGGCTCACATGTTCTTTTCACTCACGAAGCTTTCCCCCACTTTCAACAAATCACTTTCTCCTTAGTGCAATAGCAGGACCTTCTGCAGACATCGGTGCAGGGATCAGGAGACCCCAGCCTGGAGTCAAACTGCTTAGGTCCATAACCCAGCTCTGCCACAGTAACGTTGGATGAGTCACTGAGCCTCTATGTGTGTCACGTACCCCGTCTGTAAAATGGGAGCAATGGTGCCTACCTTCCAGAAGAGCATAGAATGGTGCCTGGCACACAACACGTTTTCAAAAAGCATTAGCTATTTGTGTTGGGGATGGGGAGCTATCCTCCCCCTTCTCTGGGTTCTAGGAGGGATACTTCAGTGAACATCTGTGGCCTCTTGCCCCATCAAATGTTGTGGGAGTTGTCCAAGTGGTGAGCTGGAAAAGGAACTGCACTGGTGTATTTCTGCTTGTCCTGCTCTCTCTCTGGAATCTGTCTGTCTTCAGGGAGCAAGCTTTTCCTCTGCTCCCTCTTGCCAGAAGCTTTTCAGGGCCAGGCACTGTGTGGAGAGGTCTACGGGGTCCAGAGTCGTTGCTGAACGGGTGGGTGAGCCTGGCTAATTCTGGGCTTCAGAATCACGGGGCCCATTGCTGCTGCCCTCCTGGGTCCCACTCCTCAACCCCACCTAGATCCCTCCTAGGGGTAAGGCTTGGTTCTCCACTGGCCTCCGCTTTTGTCTTGTCTCATAACTGGAAGGGGTTTTAATTAATGAGCAACTTGGCAAGTGCCTAAAGCTATTACTGTTTTAATAATTAGCATTATAACATTGTAAATAATCTCACTCATCCACATCCTCTACAGAAATGTGTGTTCATGGGGGTGGGTGTCTAACACAACATACGAGGCAAATAGGTACTTATTTAACGTTTATTTGCTTACTCGACTAGATTGGATTTAAGTGACTGAGTGTATGGCCTGGGTTTTTCATTTATTCCGCGTCCCCCTGACCTGGTGTACTGAGACTTACATAATAGTGCCTCCATGAATACACTGTGAATAAGGGAAGGGTTTACACTAGATTGATAAGCAGATTGAAATGACTTCAGTTAATGAGAGTCCCGGGCCAAAGACGGCTCCTAGAAATCGCACTGTCACCTAGGGCTGTTGGCCCAGAGCAAGAGGAGTTGGCTGGGGGGTGTAGGAGGCGTGGTTAGTGGGTTTCTTAGGGTGACCATCGGGTCATGGTTTGCCCGGGACCTTCCTGGTCTTAGCATTAAAGGTCCTGCAATCCTGGAACCCCAGAGTCCTGAGAAAACTGGGACAACTGGTCACCTGTAGGTTTCTAGACCATCAGCTGTCCCACCTGGAGTCACAAGCACTGACAGAGCTGGCCGGGGGACGGGAAGGTGAATTCTTGAAAAGCAGTGTTTGTTCAGACCACCAGGCACTAGGGTTGCCAAGGGTGACACT